ATAATTGATCCATACCAAGGAGCGTAAAACTCGACAAGAGCTCCTTTATCTTTGGTGCCCTCCTTCTCGAAGCTATCGTCTGTCAAAACAACAACATTGTCTGCTATGGCCGAAACCTAAAGCAACGCGACTAAGACAAAACCAGACCAGATTTGAAATTTTGTCAATTTTTCTTCTTTCTTTCATTTAGTTCGAGCTTTGATCTTAGAAAGGCTCTGTTATCAAAACGTTTTCATAATCAGGGGATCTTTCAAGGGCGTTCTAGAAATCGGAGTTCAAATCGGTTTGAAAAAATTCAGTTTGGAATCGACTAAGACCAACGAATCTTGTGATTACCTTGTGTCCAAACAATTCTCAGATGTTGTTAATACCGTATTGTATCTTTGTTGGTCTGGTTTATTGAACAAAAGTCAAGAAATATTCAGCAATGATCTGAAGATGTTGAGGAAAATTTAAAAACCATACCTTTAGAGAGAAAGACCCAAAGCAATGACTCGGACATCATTAGGAAGACCCACAAGAAGAAACGTTTCTGGTCTGAACATTCCAGAGTTTCCAATCTACCTCCACCCACTTCCTTAAACCTTCATGATAACTGAAATCCATCAACAACCAAAGTTTTACCTTTCGTCTCTGTTTAATGCATTTTAGGAGAATTTTGTTTTTGTTTACCAGTTACCTGAAAGTCTCCATGAGTGGCTCTGTGTAAGGGTTCTCAGCTGGCTTAAAGTGCAGTTTCGACATCCCTAAAAAGCATGATCGTGTAACCAAAGTTAAGATTCATGGAGCTGCATCCAGTTGAGGAAGAAACGATTAGGTTAGAGGAGGAGATGATCGGGAATTCGAGAAGCCGAGTAGGTACAAAAATTAGAAACGATTTGGAGTGTTTTTGACTACGCGTGTTTTCTTAAAAAAAAAAAAAGTGACGTGTCAATCAAAAAGGCCAGACACATGTCAGATAACGGAGAGGGCTGGCCTCTTAACATCTAATACTAGAGATTGTCCACGCGTTTCGTGGATTTAAAAATTAACATGATAAAATATGCAATAATTCTAGATTATTGATTAGTTGTCTATTTAAAATTTCTAAAAATTGTTGTTGTAGTAAATAACTATATAGGTTAGAAATTAAGCATTTGGAGCAAATTGTTGAACATATATAATGTTATATGTGAAAGAAATAGTCTGTTCATTAATAAAAATTAAGCGTATGCATATGGAAAATATCTTCTTTTGCACAAATCCACAACTTATATGAAATAACCCGACCCTTTTTTTTTTTTTACATTGAATCAGATTATCATTCCCATAAATGATAATCCT